TTGTTCATTGATTGCATGAGTAATCTTTCATTTGGTACTATTAATGACAGTTCATTGACTGATTTAATCATTTGATCATCAACAGATGTAAAGAATTGTTTCAAGATTGAATGAAATCGTTGAGATACCTTATCAATTGTTTCTACATTGAACAAATCAAGTGATGCATTGATTGTGCATGATAATTGATTGACATCGAGATCATGTTCAATTAGAAGTGAGAAATCATTAATGTTGATTGTGGAAATTATGGAAGAGAGTTGACTATCACCAATCATTATTAGTTTATTGTCACTTCTTGTCATAGATGACAGAAATTCAAATAACACATCTAGAAATGTTGGTTTTGAAACATTTGGATGTTGTTTAAGAATACGTTGAAGAGGAAAATATGAATATTTCATACTGTTTGCTGTTATCTCTCCAACATAATCAAGTAAATAATGCAAAGATGCATAAGGATCCAATTGACATCGTAATGGAATAACATTCTCAAACAGTCCAATAATTGATTTTAGTTGATCTCTATAACGGTTGTCGATATTCATTGCAATACATAAATCTTTTTCTCCATTCGTTAATTTGAATAAAAACACATAATAAGTAGCAAGTGCAAGTTGTTCAAGTGATATGTTATTTGCTGATGCATAAGTAAGAAAGTCATATGAGAGATCTTGACCAAAATCAAATGAAACAGATGTTCCACGACCACTTCGATGTTCATTTGAGAGACGATATCGATCAAATGGTAATGATAAAGACTGATCGAGTTTACAATCATGAAGAGCATCAAGCCAAAACATGCTTGCACCAGTCATTGACATTTGTTGTTCAATAACAGCATCTATTATATAATCGAACAAAATAATATATTAGAAAAGAGTGAAGTGGAAGAGCTAATTATACTTACAGTCGAGGTAACGAAGATTAGTGTTATCATCATATAATAAGTGACTTGTCATATATGCTTGATTAAGATCATGATGAAACACTTCCATCGATGGAAAGTCAAACAACGCGTGATGAAAATTGAAAATGACCATATCCTGATCAGAAAGTAGATGATTTGAAGAGGTGTGTTTGTAGTAAACAAGATGACACCGAAAGACAAGACCTTGAGCAAGATCAAAAAGATGAGGATTATGTTTCTCGTCGTGTAAAATCTCATTGAGTTGTTCATCTGTCTCATAAGTAGTTTCGATGATTGAAAACATATCATTTTGATCTTCATGAGTAATAACGCGTTGCATAAGTAGATTCTTTTGGATGTCAAAATGAAGTGATGTATGAAGTGAGAGATGTTTCTTGATAGTAAGACGAAGAGCATGACAAAGTTGTTTAATCGACAAAGTATGATTTGATTGTAGACGATAAACAAAAGGCATATTATAGATGGCTATTTGAGGCTTGTCTGGATCGAATCCAATTCTTTCGTCAAGCCAAACACGAGCTTGTGCAAATGATGCTGGTGCTAGAATAATGAGAATTTAGTTAATTATAATGCGGAAGCTGGTTAATGAAATGATGTTTGATAGTAATATTCTAATTTTTTTTCATCTAATCATCTCTTCAACTGAACAGAATGTGTATTAAGAATATTGTCTCAGTATTAATGTTAAGAATAGATGAATATTTTGCAGGGGTAGTTAGAAAAGTATTTTAACAGCTCCAGGATGATAGGTCTAATACTGATTCCGATCGGATTCTACTATGAAAAATCGGTGGATATTGCCGGCTGCATCCGGATCCGATCAGACGATATTGTTCTGAGAGCTTTTATGCACATTTATAGAATTAAATAACAATTTTACGTTGATTTTGATATGAAAAACAATAGTTTTGCACTCTTATGAAATTAGCATTAGCATATTACAATTACTGACGACGCACTTTGAAAAAAAGTCAAAATTTGTTCACTTCTGAGAATTCATACTTTAGAAAAAGAACAGTTCTGTTTTTACGGATGTCAACAGCATTTGCATCATGATACACTGAAAAACAATTTCGGAGAGTTATAAACCCTCAAAAAAGGTTTATAACTGAAAAATTCGTTTATCAACGTGCTCTACCTCTTGATAAACCCTTTTTCCATTTATTAATTGAATCCACCCTCAAGTACAGAGTTTATCATCACCTGTAAGAAATCCAACTTTTGAGGGTTGATTCGATTAATAAATGGAAAAAGGGTTTATCAAGAGGTAGAGCACGCTGATAAACGAATTTGTCAGTTATAAACCTTTTTTGGGGGTTTATAACTCTCCGAAATTATTTTTCAGTGTAATACAAATCGAATGTAAATGTCGAACTATTGTTTCTTTTATCAGCTGCTAATATGAGTGTCATGCGAGTTTGTACAGTTCTAACAAAAAATATTAGTATTTTTCTGGTACGAATACTTAAGCGGCAGTCCTAGTGAATGCTGTTGTTAGTGCTATCTGAATCTACACTATTCATGTAGTCGATAAAACTTATTTATGTGATTCATAGAAATTCGCCCAAATAATTAATAAATTTGTTTATGATAATATGACATTTTTATCTATCGATCTATTTTATCTTTCTTTTTCTTTCTTTCTTTTGTATTTGTTTTTATCGTATATATGGACTTATGTGTGCTATCAAGGTTTCTAATTTAATTGTATAAACAGGAACTGATGTACTCTGTAAGGGTCTTCGTCTCCATCTTCAAAGTCCATATTCTAGTAGGAAGGGAACGTAACATTGTCGGAATTTCTCTCCAGATTCTCTACATGCTAAAAAAATGAGATTAACATTAGAAGAAAACTACAGAACCTGGAAACGATTGATGAATGAAAAATATCTCTCTGCAAGCACTATGTCATTCTCTTTCACACTATTACTATTGTTATGATACAAAATTATCGTTGCTGTCGCCTATGTAGGATATAACTTGTTGTCAACTAACGCAA